CTCCTCCTCCCTTGGCCAGCTGTAGAGAATGTGACTATTGATCTCCCGGTTGTGAGTGCAAGCCCCACACTAGGCATGCAGCTTACTTAATTAAAAAAGAAAAAAGAAGTTACCATGAACATTGCGTGATGAAGGTAAGAACATGTTTTGATTGACTTTTGAAGAAATAGGATTTTTATTACCTTGTGTTACTCCAGGAGCTAATTGCTAAATGTTGAGTAGTTTGTTGGTCCTCTTCTTAATAGAGGATCACAGGAAACAGTACAGCATGGTCCACTGGAATCCTTTCTATCTTTGTGATTTATGGAGAAAATATGCAAGTAGGGCCTGAAGTTCTGTGTGATACTGAAGAGAAGGTAGAGGGCAATAGGGCTGTGAGAGCTGAGAGTTGAGGTGGTGGTTAGAGAATGAACTATTGGGGTTTTCTGTTTCTGGTGTGGAGCAATGCCTGCTGATGACCAAACCCCAGGTTGTTTCTGGATCTGTGTGTGAGAGGTTGAAGTGGGATAGAGACAGTCATTGCTGGGAAATGGTCCTCAAAAATAAAGTTCCTGATTTGCAGCATTTGTTGATTTTTGTTGTGTAAATACTGTCACCACGGCTGATTTCAAGTTACCAACATGTTATTGAGTGGGGAACTAGAAAGAGATAGGAACAAATCAGCTCTCAGGAGCTGGAATGAACTGGCTTCAACAACACATGAATTTAGGGGAAGATCACTGGAATTAAATAGGCATACTAATCACAAAGCTAAAATGTTGGATGGGCCATCTACTGTGGCTGTTGAAATCTAGGATTATGGCATGAATTTGATATAGAAGAGTGATGAGGGAGCAGAAGGCTGGCTGAAGACAAAAGCTGACACCCTACAACCTCCCCCACCCCCCCACTCCTGGGTGGGACAGTGGTGTGACATTCTTCCCGGAATCTCCTAACTATCTTAATGTTAATGCCTTGCTAGAGGGGAGAAACAACCTTAACTTGACAGTGGCAAGGCCTCGGTATCTTGTAGGTCCTCCTTAGCATATGAAAGTTCTCTTGAAACCTCCCTTTTCCTTACCTCCCCCAATCCCATAGTATATAATCAGCCACCCCACACAACTCCGGTGCAGCAGCTCTTTCTGCCCACAGGTCCTGTCCCTGTGCTTTAATAAAATCACCTTTTTGCACCAAAGACGTCTCAAGAATTCTTTCTTGGCCATCAGCTTTGAACCCTAATAACGTCTTTCCCACATCAAAGAGGAATGTGAACAAGGTTCCTAAATCTTCATTGAATGAATAAGAGTTGGAGATTGGTCAGTTGGTAAGAATTCCATAAGAAGAGTAGGTTTTATAGAAGCCTGGGGTTGGAGGGGTGGGGAGCGATATTGTCAAGGAAGTAGTGGAAATGTAATTCAAATTCCTTCAATTAACTCCACTAGCTGGTTTGTGTAATCTGTATGTAAAGCTCTGCCTGATCCAATTTGTGTGTTATAAAGGAATAATTACGAATCAAAAGTAGTTGAAAGTAATTCCAAACAAGCAACAAAGAAATCCAATATTCATAATTCACAATAACACCTTCCATTTTTTTCTCACTATCTCTCACATTGTAAAACCTATCCCTCCTGTTAAAAGAAAAAATTCCATAATTTACTGATTTAGTAGGTTTTTATTCACCAATTCATGAATTGGGCAGCATCCAGTCTAGCAGAAAAGTTCACCAAGGAGTTGTACAAAATGAAGGACTTACAGGCACAAGGAAGCAGTCACAGGGAAGTCATACAAGGTAAGAGCAGATTGGTTATTGCAAGGTTACTTTCCTCGTATGGAGCAAAGTGATGGTTCAGAGTCAGGTCAGGTAACTTGTATTGAACAGGGAACTGCTGATGGGTTGCCTAGGCCTTCCTTTTCTGGGAGAACCAAGCACAGATATTTAGTTAAGGGGTGCCTGGATGGCTCAGTCAGCTTAGCGTTCGACTCCTGATCTCAGGACCAACGTGTGGGGCTCAACGCAGGGCTCAAGGTGGGGCTTGAACTCAGGACCTTGAGACCAAGACCTGAGTTGAGATCAAGGGTCAGACACCTAACTGACTAAGGCACCCAGACACCCTACCACAAACTCTTTTGTTGAAAAGATCTAAATAATAAAAGACCTAAATAACAGAAGATTGATACTTTGAAGAAGAAACTTTTACTATATTATCTAAGAGTTGACAGGAGTAAGGAATAGATTCAAAACGAAGGGAAAATCTGAGCAGGCATTCTAGGGGAAAGCCATTTTTTTTTTTAATTTATTTTTATTTATTTATTTCTTTTTTTATTCTTATGTTAATCCCCATACATTACATCATTAGTTTTAGATGAAGTGTTCCATGATTCATTGTTTGTGCATAACACCCAGTGC